AGTGATCCCAGGGAGCTCTATGAGGACAGCCCAGTGGGGATCAGCGGGTGTGTTTAATGTTTCTGCACTGCAGCTCTGGGAAGGAGGGATTTCTTCCTCCCAAGGAGAGTGGATCTTTTTGCCATAGCCACCCAGTCTGGTATCACTGTGTTTTCTGCCATGAATCTCTCTGTAGGTCTTCCCCAGAGGAGTAGAAATAAGGGGGATGCTCACCAAGACAGATGGATTCTGTCCCAGATTGGGAAAAAATGCATAAAGAAAAGATGACAGGAGAGAAAGAGGCTAGAATGCGAGGGGGGCCTCCAGGTAATGAAGTTAATTGGATATGCTGATTTAAATTGAACGTGCATGTAAGGATTGTCATTAACTTCCTCACGGACATGTCTGTGATTTAAGGGAAAGATATGTAATGGGATTACTGTTTCACTTTAATTTCAAAGGGCTTCCCACATGGAGAGCAGTGTGCCCCATCAGCCTGTGCTGTCCCTGAGCTCCTCAGGTCCTCCTGAAGATGGGAATGGGGGGTGCCCAGATGGGAACTGGGGTGCTACATGGAGGGGAACAGTGCTGCATTGGGGTGCTGCCTGGTGGTGTGAGCACGGCCCCATGCACCAGGTTTGTATCCCAGATGGGGTTCACTATGCAATCCCCAGCAAATCTCCACTTCCCTCTGCTTTATCAATGATGTGCAAATGGCTCTGACCCAGTCCCAGGGCATCCAAAAGCATCCCAAAAGTGCTCACTGGCAGCTGAAGAGGTACTTCACATGCAGAACAATTTCATAAAGGGCCTGAAGGGCTCTTGAAAACTTCTCATCTGGAGATGATGTTCAGTTTCTGTTCTGGGTTCTCCCCTCCTGCAGCCTGCTGTGCCTGTTCCCAGTGGTGACAGAGGCACCAGCGTGGGCTGTTGGGTGCACTGATGCTGTGAGGAAGTGTGCTCCATCCGAGCATCTCACCTCTGTACACACTGGGTTGTGTACAGCCCAGCTTAATTCAACTGGATTAGGAAACATAAATCCCTTCCACAAAGGGATTCCAAATCATTGGTGGAGGAGCACATAGAAGATCTGGGCTGGTATTTATTTATCTCATCCTGTCTTTGGGATCTTCTGCTCTGCTGAGTGTCTGGCTTGTAGGAATTGCCCTCGGTGCCAGGTTGGGGTAGGAGAAACCCTACAGAACTGTGGATGGAGGAGGAAGGGGAGGACAGCCCAAACCTCACTGCTCCATCCTGGCTCTGAGCCCTGCTGCCAGCCTCGGTCCTGCTGCTGAATTTCCAGCAAAGAATCCATCCTGGAGCTTTACGGGAAGCTGAAATGGGAAATGCCCAAGAGCCAAAACATGCAGCCTTAAGTGACAAAAAAAATGGCAGTTCTATAGAGATGCACCTTGGCCGTGAGGGCTGTTCTTGTTTTCTGTTTCTATTTCAGGCAGTAGATGCAGTAACGCTCCAGTGCGCATTCCCAGAGCCGATGCAGCTCCAGGAGAAGCATCCATTTTATGCAAATGCAATGTTGTTTGATGGCATTTGCCCCGAAGGGCTGGAGATCCCAGCATGAAGGGAGCAGTCGGCAGGCTGCAGGGTTGGCTGGGCTTTGCGCTTTGTCACTGTAAAACACAAAGAGCCAATACCCCTTTGGGGTTGGATGTAGTGCTCTTAAAGGCCTTTTCCAACCCTAATGATTCTGTGATCTCAGCACCCCCCTTGTGTGCTCACAGAATCACAGAATCACAGAATCACAGAATGACCTGGGTTGGAGGGGACCTCA